CTAAAACTGTAAGAAGATATTACCTGATTCACTTTATAATCCTGGTACTGTACCAACCAAATATAATAATAACAATCATCATCATCATCATCTGCAAGTGGACCACCTGGTAAGCTGCTACAAGAAGATCGCACAGACTGACTACAGGCAGCGGCATGACAAAGTAGCAACAATGGTGCATTGGAAGATCTGCAAGAAATATCATTTGCCTGTAAGCAAGAATTGGTGGGATCGTAAAATAGAGAAAGTCACAGAAAATGATAAAATTAAACTGCTCTGGGACTTCAGAATTCAAACAGACAAGCACCTGCAACATAACACCCTGGACTTAACAATTGTCAATAAGAAAGACAAAAAAAGTCTGGATAGTGGACGTGGCAGTGGCTGGAGACAGCAGAATAGACGAGAAAGAACTGGAGAAGATAACAAAATACAAAAACCTACAAATAGAAATAGAAAGACTGTGGCGAAGGCAAGCAAGGGTAGTACCAATAGTAATAGGCCCCTTGGGTGCAATCCCAAAACAACTTGAACACCATTGACATTGACAGATTCGCCATTAGTCAATTGCAAAAGGCGGCCTTACTAGGAACGGCTTCCATTCTGCGACGATATCTGCAATAACATCAAACATCCACATCTGCCTATCCTAGGTCCTTGGGAAGGACTCGATAGGTAGACAAAAATGCCAAATTCAGTCTGAACATCTGGCTGACTGTGTGATGATCAATAATAGTAATAATAACCTGCAGGTGAATAAATCAGAAGTAAAATTCTATTGGGGGGGCAGGGAGAGAAAGAAGGATAATTAACCACTTTTGTGATTGCTGCTCAAATGAGGTCATATAGGTAGCAAGAACTAGAACTGACTCCAGAATTCAGCGGGGAGCATTTTGTCTCCTGATGGGCATATCTGCTGAAAGAAAATAGATCAGAAGTTGCCTGCTGGCAGCGATTGGGCCAAATTGGAGGGTTAGTAGATCCAGTGACAAAAATTGGCAGATTCTTAAACTCTCTCTCTCTCCCTCTCTCGTCTCCTTTCCTAGTGGATTGTTTGAATATGCTGATGACCCGAAATTAGGTCAACAGTCAGATCATTACCACTTCTGGTCTAGACATCAAAAAGTTGATGATCTCTCCCTAATGTGGCTGTTCTGTCCTAGATTATTATTAGAAAAAAATAGAAAGGAGTTGTATTCAATTTACAATTCACTTTTAAAACATTCCCAAAGAAATGCACAAGGCAATGCTATTAAAATAAAGTGATGAATGAATATATGCAGATTAAACAAAATGCTTGGGACTGTAATTCCTTTTAAAGTTATTTTTAAATTTAAAAACAGTTACTTGATTGGAAGGATAAAAAGGCCAGCATTACTGATCACTTAGACTAAATAAATACCTTTTGAAAAAGATGTCATTGTTTGGCTTCAATTCTGAAAAAGCTTTTTTGGGATAGTGCTTTGTAATGGGTGGCAATCCAGATTTGCAGAATAGTAGAATAACAAGAGTTGGAAGGAAACTTAGAGGTCTTCTAGTCCAGTCCCCTGCTCAAGCAGGAAACTCTATACCATTTCAGACAAATGAATGTCCAGTCTCTTTTTGAAAGCCTCCAGTGTTGGAACACCCACAACTTCTGGAGGCAAGCCGTTCCACCGGTTAATTGTTCTCACTGTCAGGAAATTTCTCCTTAATTTTAGGTTGCTTCTCTCCTTGATTAGTTTCCATCCTTTTCATAGTTTGTATTGGTTGTGCTGTAATGGATTGTGTGTCTGCACACATCCCACATCTCACAGTCTGTACACACAGCAAACATTGTGGCAACAACAGAGAAGTGATTTGCCATTGTCTTCTTCCAAGATATTTTTTTTCTATTTCCTAGTTTAGCCTCCAACTTTGACAGAGGATGGTGGTCTCCCACCCATGTCCTTGCCAGCCCTGACATTGTTTAGCTTCTTAAACCCATAAATTGGACCAGTTTTTGTCGCCTGCCTAGCCATGCATATATTATTTATCCAGTTTAGCTTCTTTAAGGTGATAAACACCTGTTGTTCTAATACAGGTAGTCCTTAACTTACAACTGTTCCTTTAGCAACTGACTCCTGGTGACTGGGACAAAGTCACCTGGCTGGCTTTCATGGCTAAGGCAGGGCTAGAATTCACAGTCTCCTGGTGACTGGCCCAAAGTCACCCAGCTGGCTTTTACGGCTATGGCAGGACTAGAACTCACAGTCTCCTTGTGAATGATCCAAAGTCACCTGGCTGGCTTTTACGGCTATGGCAGAACTAGAACTCACAGTCTCCTGGTGACTGGCCCAAAGTCACCTGGCTGGCTTTCATGGCAATGGCAGCACTAGAATTCACAGTCTCCTGGTGACTGGCCCAAAGTCACCCAGCTGGCTTTCATGGCTATGGCAGGACTAGAACTCACAGTCTCCTGGTGAATGGTCCAAAGTCACCTGGCTGGTTTTCATGGCTATGGCAGGACTAGAACTCAGTCTCCTGTTGACTGGCCCAAAGTCGCCCGGCTGGCTTTCATGGCTAAGGCAGGGCTAGAACTCACAGTCTCCTGGTGACTGGCCTAAAGTCACTTGGCTGGCTTTCATGGCTATGGCAGGACTAGAACTCACAGTCTCCTGGTGACTGGCCCAAAGTCACCCAGCTGGCTTTCATGTTTAAACTAGAACTCCCTATCTTCTAGCTTGATGCCTTAACCACTATACCAAACTGGCTCTCTTGCTAAAATTAGGTCTGCAAATACATCCCACACAAGAATAGCATGTAAAAGGTGAACAGTTGGAAGTATTAAAAAAAAAAAAGCCATGCAGTATGATTACTGCATATAGAAAGAGGCTGTTCGAGAGACAGGAGATATCACGTTTTAAATGTTTAAAATACATTTTTGGGGGGGCAGCTCAGAGGATTCTGCACCAAGGAATCTGGTATACCAGCACTGACCTATTTTTAGGTCTCTATAAAGCTGCTGGTTTTTATTCTTCGATTTATATTGTATAGTTTAGTACATTCTCTAGGGAACGACGACTGTGGGCAGCTTGGAAGTTTGGTAAAGAAATTAATAGCGAGTTTATGTCAGGTCCAGCATTTCAGCCGAGGATTTGTTGATTTGCAATTCAGTTTATTTTCTTTCTGCCACTAAACAGCGTTATCAGCTAGAGCAGGGGTAGTCAACCTTGGCTCTTTTATGACTCGTGGACTTCAACCCCCAGAATTCCTGAGCCAGCTTAGCTGGCTCAGGAATTCTGGGAGTTGAAGTCCACGAGTCATAAAAGAGCCAAGGTTGACTACCCCTGAGCTAGAGAGTGAGTCTGCCACATTAATCCACTGACTTTCTAAATCTGCTTCCATTTGCTAAAAGGATGGGAAGCTCCGGACCTGTTATCTTTCTGTGTGCAGTTGTGGATGGGTGGGTGGGTGTGGAAATGCTCACACGTGTGCATGTACACAGCTCTTTATTCATATGCAAGCCTGCACAAACATAGGCACATATGTGACACTTTATGGAACCTGTCTACCTAAACATATTCCTATTCTAGCATGGAAAGGAATTTATTTAACATTTATTTATAAAAGAAAAAAAAAATCAGGTCTGCCAATTTTGTGCAAGGCTGTAAGTGGTGGGGTACTTAAACTAAAAATATTATTTGTTTGTTTCTTTGTTTGTTTTTTGTCGGAGTCCAAGACCTGTCCCATCCATGCCCACAATGGCTTTGGTAAAAAGATGGCTGGCATACAATATACAAAATGCAGAATAACAGAAGGGACCTTGGAGGTCTTCTAGTCCAACCCACTGCTCAAACAGGTGGCCCTATACCATTTCAGACAAGTGGTTGTCCAATCTCTTCTTAAAAGCTTCCAGTGTTGGAGCACCCACAACTTCTGAAGGCAAGCCCTTCCACTAATTAATTGCTCTCACTATTAGGAAATTTCTCCTTAATTCCAGGTTGCTTCTCTCCTTGATTAGTTTTTATCCATTGCTTCTTGTCTTGCCTTCTAGTGCTTTGGAAAATAGTTCTTTGTGGCAGCCCCTCAACAATTTTATAAATAAATAAATAGGAGGAGGAGGAGGAGGAGAAGAAGAGGAAGAAGAAGAAGAAGAAGAAGAAGAAGAAGAAGAAGAAGAAGAAAGAAAGAGAAAGAGAAAGAGAAAGAGAAAGAGAAAGAGAAAGAGAAAGAAAGAGAAAGAAGAAAGAGAAAGAAAGAAAGAAAGAAAGAAAGAAAGAAAAAGAAAGAAAAAAAGAAAAGATATTAAGTAAATATGCTTTCCATCTCACCACTGAATGACTCTGGTGGCTTACAGCGTCAAAATCTGTAGTATCAAACGATTAGAAAATCAAAACATAAAAAAATAGGTTAAAATGAACACCATTAGAAGAAGGAGGTGGATACAAAAGTCCAAATGCCGAAACCAGGTAGAGGTGGGATGGATAAATAGGGTTAAATAGGGACCATCTTTAAGGAAGAATTATATATGCCCCTTTTTGCAAACTGGATGGGCCTCCTGTATGCTTCTTTGCTCATCCTGGGGAACCAGGAGGGGAGGCGATTGACCTGCTAAAGCACATTATCATCGCAATTCCCATCTGGAGCGAATGGGAATTTGTGGCTTGCACAAAGAGCAAGGAGGGGGGGGGAGAGAGAGAGAGAGAGTCGAGGAAAAGACACAGCCGCTGTTCGCAGCGCGAAGATGCATTTATCCTGAGAAGCGGCTGCTTGCAGCTTTCCGGCCCTGGTCTCAGCACCAGGGCAGCTTAAATCTGTTCCTCCCCTCCTTTGCACAGACACGGAGAGGCTGGTCTGTAGGCTCCTCCTTTCTCTCCTATGAAAAAACGAGTCAAGTTTCCTCTTTGGGTGCATAGTGGGAGGGTGGTGGTGGGGTTTGTTTTTTTTTTGCTTCACTCTGCCAAGCAGGAAGGTGCCAGTTGCGTCTCCCACACCGCCTCCTGCTTGAAAACAAGCTTGGACACCCAAAGGAGCCACAGCACCTCTCCTTGGGTGCAGCCCTGGTGAGCCAAGCCATGCATCTCAACACAACGTCTTCCCTCTACCCGCTGGGATACCTTATGGGTGAGTTCCCTCTGCTGTCCGCTAATTCTGTCCTGCCTGAGGCGGAGAACCTCTCCAACAGCTCAGGACTTGGGTCCAGGCTACACAACGAGGAGGATCTGGATGTGAACACGGACATCTACTCCAAGGTTCTGGTGACCGTCATCTACCTGGTGCTCTTCTTGCTGGGGACCGTCGGCAACTCCATCACCGCGTACACCCTGGTGAGGAAGAAGTCCCTGCAGAATCTCCAGAGCACCGTGCACTATCACCTGGCGAGCTTGGCGTTCTCCGACCTGCTCATCTTCCTCCTCTGCATGCCCATCGAACTCTACAACTTCATCTGGGTCCATCACCCCTGGGCTTTCGGCAACAACGTCTGCAAGTGCTACTACTTCCTGAGGGACGCTTGCACCTACGCGACGGCTCTCAACATCGCCAGCCTCAGCATCGAGAGGTACATGGCCATCTGTCACCCTTTCAAAGCCAAGAGCATCATGTCCAGGAGCCGGACCAAAAAGTTCATCAGTTGCATCTGGGTGGCCTCCTTCTTGCTCGCCATCCCCATGGTCTTAATCATGGGCGAGATCTACAGGATACCCCAGAATCCCAACTCGCTGGTCTGCACCCAGATTGTGGATGATTCCACGCTGAAGATCGCCATCCAGGTGAGTCTCTTTACCTGCTTTCTTTTAGCTTAGGGTGAGTAGCTTGTCGCCGTTGTGCCAGGTTCTAGCTGTATGCAATGCCTACAGTTAATGGCTTTAAAAAGAGAAAGAGAGAAGCAAATACAGGCAGAGCGTGGTTTTTCTATAAATCCATAAGCTCTCCCTTGTCAGGACAGATGGCAGCAGATGCTTAAACACACACAGTGTCCTATGTTGTTTGACAGTTTGGAATTCGTGCGTGCAGCTGGTCCCCGATGACTTGAGCCAGCTCACTAAACTTTGCAAAACAGCCCTCTTCCATTTGTGTCAAGACTGTTTCAGATGGTGCATTCTTTAGGAGAACATGGGGAGGGAGGGAAGAGATGAAAGGGACGTGCGCTGACAACACTTATTTCCAAACGGGTCAGTCCTGCGGGAACAGGAACAATGTGCAAAAGTCTAAGACTGGCATTCAGTGTGTACACGGTTTGTAAAACCAGCCTTGCTGCTTTTGTGTTGTAAGGAATACAGTAGGATGCAAACAGGGCTGAACATGAGTTGTTTTGGTGAAATCAGAATTGGGAGCCGCACAAAATGTGCAACCGCCTTCGTTGTACAAGCCAACCGAATTGCACTGATTTCTCTTGTTTTTGTGTCACTCATTCTGCGAACTTTTGCTTTGCTGTGAACGAAAGAAAGAAAGAAAGAAAGAAAGAAAGAAAGAAAGAAAGAAAGAGGGAGGGAGGGAGGGAGGGAGGGAAAGGAAAGGGAAGGGAAGGGAAGGGAAAGGAGAAAGGAAGGGAGGGAGGAAGGGAGGAAGGGAGGGAGGAAGGGAGGGAGGAAGAAAGAAAGAAAGAAAGAAAGAAAGAGGGGAAGGGAGAAAGGAAGGAAGGAAGGAAGGAAGGAAGAGAGGGAGGGAGGGAGGGGAAGAGAGAAAGGAAGGAAGGAAGAAAAAGAAAGAAAGAAAGAAAGAAAGAAAGAAAGAAAGAAAGAAAGAAAGAAAGAAAGAAAGAAAGAAAGAAAGAAAGAAAGAAAGAAAGAAAGAAAGAAAGAAAGCTGTGATCCACAAGAGTTGACTTCAGCACAAAATAACCAGGAACATTTTTTCCCCTATTCATTAAACCAAATCTATAGTGATGGGATCCAAAAAAATTTCAAAACATTTAGAATCCCATGTCGAAATTGCTTTTTGAAAATAATCCAAAGAGGATGAAGAGATTTTCATTTGCCAGGGCAGTATCGAGAAACATTTTGCTTGATAGCCCTCTTAGCATGTAATTCGTGACATTAAGAAGCAGAAAGTGTCTCCGCCACAAATCCATGGAATAATTTGAAAGAGACATACCCTCCCTTGAAATTTGTTTCAGTAGTCCATTGTGCTAATTCTTCCACATGTTTAAAGAATCCAGTTGAATGCAGTAGAACTTCCGAGAACTCATGCATGGAATTGCATTGTTGATCTCCAGTTTCCCCTTTCTTATTCACAACCCCAAATATAGCATTTTCTGGATGTTGCAAGACCCTCTCGTTTTATTCTCCTCCCTAGAAAACCTGCTAAAATAGAAAACAACGGCTTCAATATGAGTGTGATGGTTTTGAAGTGATGCCAAGCAGTAGATATCTATTTATTTATTGTTAAATATTTATAAATCTCCCCAATCCATAAAGGTTCTGAACAGATACCTCAAAACCAAATAACTCCAAATAACGGAAATAGAAATAACTAACAATACTATCATCAGATAGCCACCCACGCATTCCATGAGTTAAAGCCTTGCTAAAGTAACAGAGTTTGAAGGGTCTGCTGGAGTCAAGTGGGGTTGGGCAGCATGTTCTTCAAGATAAGGACCTCTGTTGAGGAGGTCCATCCTAGGGGAGGGCTCATGGCAGAATAACAGAATAACAGAGTTGGAAGGGACCTTGGAGGTTATCTAGTCCAACCCCCTGCTCAGGAAGGAAACCCTATACCAGTGGTGGCGAACCTATGGCACGTGTGCCAGAGGCGGCACTCAGAGCCCTCTCTGTGGGCACGCGCACCATGCCCCGGAGATGGTAACCGTCCCTCTTCAACCAGCCGTCCGCTAACTCACCGAGGTCCTACGTGGCCAGATGCATCCCAGCACAGCTGGTTTCCCTCCCCCCCTGCCCCATCCCTCCTGGCCTCGCATGCTCTCCTTTTCCCGGGCACGACCTACCACATCGCCTCCTCAGCTGTTGGCCAGCCGTCCAGCTCAGAAGCGGCTTCTCTGAACTGGCGGCGTGCTGCGGAGCCCCATAGTGCGCCGGTCAAGGGGCCAGCAGGCTGTGGCTGCTGACGGACATTGTCGGGCCCCGTGCGCTCACTGGCCTCTGTGTGCGCGGGCCGATGGTGTCAGGCAGCAGCCACCCCGGCCCCTGCCTCTCCTTGCCCTGCAACAATGCCCCCCCCTGCTCTGCCTCGCCTTGCCTCACCTCACTCCACAGGATGAGCCTCCTACCCACTGCCCCACCTGCCAGAGACCCCCTGGATCTCCCCCAACTCTGCCCGGCCCCCACAGGCATCCCTCCCCACGAGCAACATCGAGGTGACCATGCCAACCTTGGCCACACCCACCCAGTCTTCCATGACCACCACAGCCACGCCCACCCAGTGGAGCAGGCCCACCTGGCACTCGGCGATAAATAAGTGGGTTTTGGGTTGCAATTTGGGCACTTGGTCTCTAAAAGGTTCGCCATCACTGCCCTATACCATTTCAGACAAATGGCTGTCCAATCTCTTCTTAAAAACTTCCAGTGTTGGAGCATTCACAACTTCTGGAGGCAGGTTGTTCCACTGATTAATTGTTCTCACGGTTAGGAAGTTTCTCCTTAATTCCAGGTTGCTTCTCTCCTTGATTAGTTTCCATCCATTGTTTCTTGCCCTGCCTTCAGATCCTTTGGAGAATAGCTTGACTCCCTCTTCTTTGGGGCAGCTCCTGAGATAGTGGAACACTGCTATCATGTCACCCCTAGTCCGCCTCTTCATTAAACTAGACATACCTAATTCTTGCAACCTTGTATTAATACTGTAGATTGTGATATATCCTGGTTCTTTATTTCATAGAGCTTTACAGGTGAACATTTTGAAGCTAATGCCTAGTGCAGTCTCCACAAAAACTGCTATCCTGCATAAACGGAATATCGCAACTAATAGACATGTTGTTGCATTTTGCACCAGTGGTAACTTCTCAGCATTCTGCTAAAGTAGCTGCCTTGAGAGCTGGTAGTAAGAGTCCTAATAGGAGACACTCAAAATGTGAGTCACAATTGCAGGAAAGACTGCAGGTTGGTGATGGGTGTCCCAGCTACAGCTTGGCCATCGTTTTCACCTGTTGCTCTGTCAGGAGCTGTGAAACCAGAAGGATCCCCAAATTGCAGCTTTTTTCAGTGGAAATATAACCCTAAAAAGGCTTATTGAAAAGCCACGTTTGTTCCTGACCAGCAGCAACTCTGTCTTGGTATGTTTTAATCTAAACTAACCTCCAAGCATCAGTTTGAGATCTCCACAGCATTGGTTCAAGACCTCCCTCACGTTGCCACGTATATAAGTCAGGGGTCTTCAACCTTGGCCCTTTTATGACTTGTGGACTTCAACTCCCAGGATTCCTCAGCCAGCGTGCCTGGCTGAGGAATTATGGGAGTTGAAGTCCACAAGTCATAAAAGGGCCAAGGTTGAAGACCCCTGATATAAGTGGATATTATTGCAGAAAAAGCTTCCAAATTTTCACTGTTATAATTAGAGGTTCTGATTCCATTTTAGAGGGAGCAGAAGACTGGAAATGCTCCCATGGAAATTTCATTCCATTTACATTTGAATATGCTACTATTTACGTCTGCATTTACAAACTGAAACTTAAATTGTGGAGAAGGTGCTAGCCTAGAAATCAGGAGGCTGTGAGTTCTAGTCTCACCTGAGGCATGAAAGCCGATTGGGAGAGTTTGCGCCAATCACTAAGCGACAGTGAGTTCTATTCCCTCCTTAGTCTGGATGGGTAACATTGGGCCAGTCATCAGGAGACTGTGAGTTCTAGTATTGCCTTCAGTGTGACCACGTGACCACGGGGATGCTGCAATGGCCACGTGAAAAAAACGGTCATAGGTCACTTTTTCCAGTGCCGTTGTAATTTTGAACAGTCACTAAATGAACTGTTGTATGTCGAGGACAACCTGTATTCTACAGTTAGGGGGAAATCGGCACAAAAAATGCACACATATTTATTCAAGAATCAAGCTCACATGAAGTGTTAATACCACTTTACAATGCCTTGGTAAGGCCACACTTGGAATACCGCATCCAGTTTTGGTCACCACGATGTAAAAAAGATGTTGAGACTCTAGAAAGAGTATGGAGAAGAGCAACAAAGATGATCAGGGGACTGGAGGCTAAAACATACAAGGAACGGTTGCTGGAATTGGGTATGTCTAGTTTAACGAAGAGAAGGATGAGGTGGGACATGATAGCAGTGTTCCAATAATCTCAGGGGCTGCCACAAAGAAGAGGGAGTCAAGCTATTCTCCAAAGCGCCTGAAGGCAGGACAAGAAGCAACGGATGGAAACTAATCAAGGAGAGAAGCAACTTAGAACGAAGGAGAAACTTCCTGACAGTGAGAACAATTAACCAGTGGAACAACCTGCCTCCGGAAGCTGTGAATGCTCCAACACTGGAAGTTTTTAAGAAAAGACTGGACAGCCATGTGTCCGAAATGGTATAGGGTTTCCTGCCTGAGCAGGGGGTTGGACTAGATGACCTCCAAGGTCCCTTCCAACTACTACTACTACTACTTCTTCTTCTTGTTGTTGTTGTTGTTGTTGTTGTTATTATTATTATTATTATTATTATTATTATTATTATTATTATTATTAATGTGTACAAAACTGCATCCTATCAGGAAAGCCTGCTTGCAAAAAGAGTCAGTATTCTGCAAAATTAGAAGCAACAGTACGCGTATTTGAACCCAGACAGACAAAATGTAGTCCACACTTCAAAGGAAGATAATTTCAG